ACTTAAGAAATTGTATTTTATGGAAAAGAATCAACAGATTTTATTCACAATTTGTGTCAAACCAAAATATATATTTATATAGATATATATATATATTTATATAGATATATATATATATATATTTATATAGATATATATATATATATATATATATATATATATATATATATATATATATAGATATATATATATATATATATATATATAACCCCAAAATATTGCTTGTAAAACTTTCATGTATACAAATATATGACAGGATTTGAGTACACTAAACAATGGGACAACTTATATCCAGGGCTTACAAGCATTAAAAAATAATGTTCAGAGAAAGCAGTTGTGAAAACACCCATTAGCATTATTGAAGTACATCTTTATCTATTGATGTGTTTGGACATTGATGCATCAAAATGAATGAAGAGTTGTACTTATTGACAAATATTATTTAGTGTTAAGATGGCATCTGATTCTAAGAAAATGTATAATAATTTTGTTTATGTTATTCTTTTAATCTGACAATGGCTAAAGAATAAACTCCAAATCCAGGAGGGGTGTATAACAAGGATAAGGATATCCTTAGGTATGGGAAAGTAACCAGACATGAGGCATTTAAAAGGAAGGTAAATGATTTATATATATATATATATATATATGCCTTTAACTTATAGCCATTAATAACAGCAACTGACAAGACTAAAGGCAAATAGGGAAGCACCCTCCCCTCAGGCCTGCTCCAATGTTCCTTTTTTAATTACCTAGTCAATTTACACCTGTGATGTTTGTCATCAAATCTTCCATCCATCATTTGCATTATGTAGTCACATTAAAAATGTTAGATTTTCTTTCTTCACAGTGGGAAGAAATAGGCAATGGAGTGTGGGTCAATCCTATTAGATTGCGTGTGGCACAGAAAGATACCAAATAAAAAAACAGACTTTGCCAGGATGGTCCTGATGAGGACCTGAGGAGCTAAAGGGCAAAAGGCTCCATGAACTGGACCAAGACATTCTGCACACTATTGCTGGTTGGTATTTAAGATATACATATATATTGGTTCTACTAAAAATGGTATTTATAATGGGCCATTACAAAAACTTCAGATAGTTATTGCAATTATTAAAGCAAGCCTTTATCAGTAAGTATCCATTTGAATAATGGAGCCACAATTGCATAATTATCAGGATGTTCTCCAATTAAATACCAGCAAATCAGTAACATTACATCAATATACTAGCTGGCAGTACCAGTTAAGAAGGGTAAGGTCTGGTGATTTCAACTGGGAACTTGGTCAAGTTGGTGATGTTTAGGATAATTTTATCACTGCACTGATAAAAGAACTGTATTTACTTAGTGAGCTCAATTCCTAGTTTTTCTTGGACCTTTACGTCGTCATGATTGCACTTCTTTCGACCTATGACATATGTGATTTCATTTAGAACTTGTTGTAATCACAGAATTGCCGCAAGTGACACTGAGGGAGTCCGGGCCCACAGGTGATACCCACACAGAGAAGGAACCTAAAAACAAGGCTGCAATATTGCAGTCCCTCAGGACCAAGCTGAATAATTTGATTCGGGAAGATGGTAAGTCAAGTGTTGCAATATTACATCTCTCTCAGTCTATAATTATATGTAGTCTGCAATTCTTACTAAGGACAATGAAGCCAATCTGCATAACAACTACAGTACCCTGGTTTTTGAGGGATTTAATTTTAATTAATGAATGCATGTACACTACCTATGCTGCAGAGAGAAGGGCTGCCATGCAGACTGATCAAGTGGTGCAAAATCTAGTAGCTGAGTGACACCACTTTTGAATAACATTCCAAATAATAAATGACATTTATTTGCAGTGTCAAAATCACTCTTTGCCTTCTAATTAAAATGATTGTAGACCTGTCTTATTTGAAAATAAATTAAAATCATTTTAAAAGCAGAACTAGCTATTTTGCAGTTTAAATTTGTGACACTTCTGGGATAGGGCTAAGTGTGATGTGAATGTCTCACAGCCTAGAGTCAAATGAGTCTCATTTGGGGAGACATTTCAAAAGGAGTTTGTGCAGCTACCATCTGAAGATTGTAACAAGTCAGCCAGTGAAAGTTCAAACATCTGGTTCCATTGACTTATGCCGTGTTTACACTTGGGATTTTTACTGCGGTAAAAGAGTTTACTTACCTAGGTAAATTTTTGGTCAATGTAAACATCAATTAATACCTCAGTAAAGGCAGCAAAAGACAAAGGAAATTTAACCATGGTAAAAGCGATAATGATGCAGTGATTTGGCTTGGTTTAGCTCAGTAACCGAGGTCAAATTGACAGATATATCCCGTTGCGGTGAAGTTTTTTTGATTTATCGCGAGTTCAAGTTTACTTGACACGTTTCATGTTTTATTCGCGGAGTTCAGGCTTTCTTTGCGCCAAGTTTCGTGCTCTTGCAAAATGGAAAAAAATAAGGACACATTTTTTAATTATTACGGCAGTCAAACCGAAAGGTAAGCGATGTATTACGTCTCCCCTTCATTCCACTCACACTTTTTTTTTATCCGGATAAAACAGATTTATTTGTTTTCCGTTTTTTTCCAGGCAAGATCCACAGCAACAATATTCGCAAATGAGCGCAACGTATTTCCCTTACTACCCGCAACCTCAATATGCTGTGCTGCCGTTCTATGGCTCTCAATTGCAAGGAACGCAAGAAATTCACTCATCTTCAGTACGACCCCATTCTGATCTGCCTGGCTTGCAATTGCAAGAGAACAGCCACGGCAGCAGTAGCAGCACTGGTCCAAAAAAGAAAAATTGTTGGACAGACACTGAAGAAAAGATCTTGGTGGAGCTGTTTGGAGAAAATGAAGATAAGCTGCGATACAAAGCCTTCAGCTCCCCTGAATGGCTGTCGATTGCTCACCAGCTTCACCCGTGGAGCAAGGAACAAAACGTAGACAGCGACAGAACGCCACAACAGTGCAAGAACAAATTGGAAAATTTGACAAATTTTGTATAAAAACACCAAAGACAAGCTTCGGTCGACAGGATACGGCAAAGGGGGTGATGTGCCGTCCGACAATGAAAGTGAAGAAAGTGAGGAGATCATACTGAAACATTTCAACGATATGGATGAAATTCTCGGTAAAAGGGAATCCATCAACCCGCGCCACGTGCTCGAAAGCTCTCACGTCCCCAATAGCGAGTCACCAGAAATGTCGGAACTCGAACACAATATCCTCGAGAAAGATGCCCTAGATGAGGAAATCTGCCAGGCTGCACAAAAACAAAGGCAAGGGACTGCCCAGAATGTTTCTCCTCCATCTGAGTGCACAGTGCCTTCTAATGGAGATGAATCCAATAAAGACCAGTTGCTTGCCTTTGCAGAATCCCTCTTTTTTAAGAGTAAAGGCAAAAATAAAAAGCCTTTGGCAAGCACACCGGTACTGAAGAGGCATGAGGCTGATGTGGAAAAAAAGCTACCAAGAAAGCACGCCGCTGATGCAGCAGAAAGGCCATCAAAAAAAGGCACAAAAAAGAAGGGAAAAGCCGGATCATCAGGAGTAGACGAGCCAACCTTGATATCATTTCTTGAACGCTCACAAGAAAGGGACGAGGCTTTTATGGAGCGGGTGGCTGAAGCCGAGAGAGAATACAGGAAAGATCAGCAGAAAATTTCCATGGCTGCCCTTGCTATGCTCGGAAACATCCTCAAGGACGTTAGTAAAGGAAATGAATGAACACCCTTTTTAGTATTTTTTGTATTTTTATTGTTGTGTTCTGTTGTCATGAAATAGTGAATCCATTAATACAAAATCATTTATTAATTAGCTGAATGTCGTGTTGAAAAGATTTTGGATAAAAAAACGTTTTTGGATACATGCTGATCAACTTTTAGTGATCACAAATCAAACCAGAGATGTTAACATCTGGTATTTTAAAATTATGAATAATTGTATTCAATCATATACTCTTTAATCAATCAATTTATATTTTTAAATAATTGCTCAAAATCGCTGTGTCTATAATTTGTAAACAAAACAGTTGAGAACTTTGTTAACTTTCAAATTTTAAGGAATATTTACATGTATATGTGTACAAACTTGAGCTACAATGCTAGTTTTTCACGAAAATAAAGAAAATGACATGAGTAAGCAAAAAAATCAATGACCCTGGTCTATTTTTGTCTACTTTCCTAAGCTGGTAAATAGTCCATAATTTTGTCTCTAACATCAGATGCAATTGGCGATACGTCTCCATTTAAACTTTGATCCATGTCATTGTCGTCATCTCCCAATATGTCTATGGGGCTAGGGTCTCCCACATCGATACAAATATTGTGAAGAACACAGCATGCCAAGATCGTGATGGCCACTATACTTGTCTTTTCTTCCATTGCCTTGTAAAGGCAACTCCACCGCCCTTTCAAGATTCCGTAGGCCTGTTCAATAACAACACGGGCTTGACTGAGAGCACGATTAAACCGCAGTTGTCGTTCACTTAATGTACGTGTTTAATTAAAAGGCTTCATTAACCAAACAGATAAGGGATATGCTGAGTCTCCAACAAGCAAAGGTCTAATTTCGGAACCAGAAATTTGTCTTGTAGGCCTGTTCAGCCAGTTGCCTTGTTCAATTTCCCTGTGCAGATTGCTTAAACGAAGAACACGCGCATCATGAATGCTACCAGGATAGCCTGCACTTATATCGAGAAATCGAAATGACACATCAGCAACACCTTGAATCACAACAGAATAATCTTGCTTTCAGTTGAAGTAATCAATTCGCTCGTCCACAGGCACTGTCTTCAAAGCAATATGACAACTGTCAATAGCCCCGACTACTTGGGGAAATGGAGACTTGTTTGTAAACAATCTAATACTTTGTAGTACCTCTTGTTCACTTTCTGGAAATTTGATGAATTCTTAAGCATGTTTAGCAATAGCATTGCAAAAATCCTGTTTTATCAACATGGCCGTGCACCGTCCAATACCGAATTGTAGTCCTGAAGATCGGTATGTGTCGCCCGTTGCTAGCCACCATAATGCTACCGCTACTCGCTTGTGCACTGGGATAGATTGCCGCAGTTTGGTGTCTTTCTTCGCCATCTCCGGACCAGCCACACGGACAATAAACTCAAAGGTACGTCTTGTAATTCGGAAGTTCTCCTTCCACCAATCTTCGACAAAAGACCCGTTTAGTAGGTTTTCAAACCAGATTTGGTTCCTTGGCCAGGACCAAGCACGTCTCGCTCGCCTGCTATTTCACTGCATAAGTTGCAGTAAAATCATCCATTTTCGCCTCACTTTCTTGAGGTGTTGTAGTATTAGCAGTTGCCTTAATCGAGACGCTTCTGCTTGTTTCTCAAGAATGAAAAAGAAAAAGGCAATGACTATCAGAGCCACCACTTTCTTGTTAATACCGACCATGTTTTAAAAATTGCGTAGCTTGTATTTCCCGCCAATTCGATTTTTGGCAGTGTTGACAGATTAACTTTGGTTATTTGAGGCAGTATAAACACTGCACTAATCTACTTACGTTCAGTTAACTTGACCTCGGTCAATTTAAACCACAGTAAACGTTTGAATGTAAACACGGCATTAGGAATATCTGACCACTATTAGATTTTTGTTGTTTTTAAAGTGGTTAGAAGTACTCCCAAGCCACTTGTGATTTCAACAAAGAAATATAAACAAGTGGACAAAAAACAAATTAATACAGATTTTGAGCATGCTCCTTGGCATCTTGTGAATTTGTTTGATGATATAGATGATTGCCCCTTCATCTGGAACTACTTATACAACATTATATAAGAACACCATTTACCATCCAGCAAAACAAATATTGGATCTAAATCCCTCCCATGGATTGACTTTTCCATTAGGAAAGGAATGAACAAATTAAAGATTTAACCTCTTAAATGAGGCCAAAGCCTCTGGAGATCCAGTGAAATGGAGTCAGCACAGAAAAAAAAAATGAGGTAAAAAATCTGTTAAAGAAGGCCAAGGCAGCTTATTGGAATAATCAATTTAACAAATCAACTAATCCTAAAAAATTTTGGAACTGACAAACCTGACAATATGATGCAAGCTTTTGTATCCAGTATGCAGGGTCAAAGGCAATCCTTTCCACAGAGATTCCTTTCTTGGTGTATACAATGAAATCGCACCAGGATGCTCTAGTTACACCCATCTCTTTTGAGTTTGCATTGTCCATTGACAGCTTCACAGCAGAATAAGGGTCTTCTCAAGCCTCCAAAGGGGTAACATGGTATTTGGTCTCTGAACATTTAACCTATGCAAGTCCAAAGTGTTGCTCACATCCAAAATCAACAACTCTTGCATCAGGGGAGCCAGCAAGAATTGGCAAATGTTGTGAAATGACTTGATCACACTTGAGAACCTTACCCGGAGTCTTTCTGGTTAAAATTATTTTTTGTATTCTTTTAGTGAAATTGGTGTATATTTCAGTCCATGCTCAACATGTCTGGAAGAGAATGACCTTGTGTCAGTGAGCTTAGCAGGAAACTTGTGATGGTTTCTTCGCCTTTTTTCACTAGCTGGAATCTTGAAGCTGTGAATCTATATTTACACTCATTCTTCCTGAAATCAGAATTTTATTGCTCTCTTGTGGCAGATTCAATGCTGTTATTAGAATTCTCATCAACTTCAAGAGTCTGAAGGATTGCTTTTTTGGCATCATTCAGGTTATCAGAAATAACAAATGTATCTATTGCAGATAAAGGAAATCTGGGGAAGGTCAGTTCTGTTGGTGGAGAGTGGTTTAATTGAGGAATTGAGGCAATTTTACTGCAATGCAAGAGGTGGGAAATATCCAACAATAGGCCTGTAAGAACAGGATGAAACTTAACCGAAGCAAGACCTCGGAAATGGTATTATGAGGGAGAACAACCAAACAGGTGCCTGATGCATTACCCTCAATTGTAATGAAGCCTGCACTTAAATTGTTAGGTGTAACCTTCAATCAAGACCCCTGTAACTGGGACACTCATTTTGATCTTCTGCAATGTAAAGCCAGTTCTTGGCTATACATAATAAGGGTTTGTAAATTTTATGGTCACTTGCAGGAGGGATTAATGGCTCTTTTTAATGGCTTAAGGCAATCGGAGTTTGGGAGAGCACATTAGAATGTAAATACCTTAGCCAAATTGATAAGTTCTGTAAACATGTCCACAAATATTGTTATTTATGGAATTTTACACCCATTAAAGATATTCTTCATGCCAGAAATAATTTGTTATGGGATTAGATCACTGAAGACTGTGATCATTGTCTATGTGACCTACTTCCCATGCAGAGGGGAAGGTCACTCCATTCCCACAGCTGTAACTATATTTTACCTCGTATTCGTATGAAACATTTTTAGCAAACTTTTATTAACAGATCCCTTTTTAATTTTATTTAGATTATAACTAGTTTTCTCTCTAGTGATGAATTTTGGAAACCTTGCATGTTTGTTTGCACATCAAGAAAAAGCTAATGTTCAATTCATGAACACGTCATGCTTTGTGTGACTTGGTGTTAAGTTACAAGAGGGACAGTTGAAAATTTGAACATACTATAAGGCATAGTATGAGGAACAAGATGTGGTTGATTTACAACAATAAATATTTCCATATAAGAACATTCTACAAGAAAAATCAATAAAACTTACTCATATCCTGTGTGTGCATTGTAGTTTCTGGTGATTTCTGCTGTTTTAAGCTTGCTTTCCCATCACTGTTATTCCATCACTGTTATTCACTCAGCTGCACACTCAGAAATCGACTGTTGTCCACATGGAGGATGGAGGTGGCCTGGACCCCAAAAATCCTTCTGATCAGCATTTTATTGTTGTGACTGTTTTTTCTTTTTTGGAGTTGCATGACTGATAACCTCGTTTTGAAATTGTGAGCCTCGGTTCCAGTTACGTACCTCGTAAAAATACGTATCAGGGACGTTTTTTTAGAGAGCAGAGATTTTTGAGTTGTGTTTTCCTAGTGATTTGAGGTTTCACTTTGTGAGGATTAAACCTTTAATTCAAAACTAAAGCGAGTTATTTGGTGTCTCTGGAAACGGAAATTTGATTCCCACATCATGATCTAAGATCATTGCACCCTGGGACATGTCTCAACACCAAAAAGCCGGCGCACTTTGCAGGAAACAAACATTTTCTGCCTGCAATACCAAGTTCGTTTCTTTCTAGCTATGCTTTGAACAAGCAGGCAGAACACCACTGTGGAAGAGAAGAGTGGTACGGTCAATTGATGTTTAATACTTGCTCCATCCCCACAGAAACACCTCCCCTCAATCTATTGTCCTGATCAACCAATCACACAGCGAGGTGAAATTAAAACAGATGAACAACAGAAAAAATTTGAAGCCAGATTTGCTGGGAGAACCTAAGCTTGGATTATTTTTGCAGAAATGCCACACAAGAGGAAGGTGTATGGTGAAATTGACCATGAGGCAAATCAGAAAAGAGTTAGGAGTGGTGGATCAATATCATAACCCAACATTAACTTTAACTTTTTGTCACTGGACTGTTGTTGAGTCAGGGGAGGGTTAGGTGGGCAGTTGCCCAGGTACTGATATTGATCCAGAGTGGCAAAGTTTCAAGTTTGCACCATTGGAAATTTGGTGAGTTGAAATCCAAAAGCTTTCCTTGGTACACAAATTGAATGTCAACATGTGTGGTTTATTTCAGTATCCGGAACTCAATTTAAAATACATAATTTTTCTTCGTGGCGGGTTCATTTCAAATTACGAATATGCTCAAGGGAGCCTTACCTTTTGCTAAGGACGTGAACAAGCAAATTGTTAACTTCGTTTTCAAAAATTACGTTGGGTGCAATTATAACAGATATCTGGGGTGAAAGAGTCAAGCACGTGAAACATGGACCACAAAACAATGACAAGGCTGCATACTTAAATATTAAAAGGTCCAAAGATGGAATCAGAAAATTGTTTGGTTTCACTCTAGAAAACATTTCAATTTTCCAAACCTGGACAGGGGAACGTGTCGCCCAAGGACATTACATTTTTCCTAGATATAAAAAAATGGACTTCAATTCTCAGCACCTGACCCTGGAATTGTCCATGAAGTTGTCTCGATCTCTTCAGGCAAGCTACACCATTAAATCTCATGGTTCTGTCGTTGATTTGAAGCATGTTTTGAAAAATTCTGGCAGCACAACTACAGGGCAAATCTCCTGCCTATTACAATGGTTGGAAAACCTACCCATCTGCCTTAGATTTGTTCTGGAAAAGGGCAAAGCAGTTGTTACCCTATTCCCAAACACAACAGGTCAGCGTCAGGACCTTAAAGATTGTTCCAAGGAGCCATAAACGAGAGTGTTTTCTGACCTTTGTCTAGTAATCTGCAAGTATAGGGCGGCTAGACAATACCTTAATTGTAGCAGGCTCTATAGTCTCAACAGACAGTGCCAAGAACAAATTGCTAACAGGCAGGTCATTCCTCCCAAATGCAACAAACGGTTCGTGTCTCGAGAGGAATTGGTGGACCAAGTTGCTCAGGAACAGGTGAGAAGAAAACATGCAGAGGAGAAGGAGAGATATTGGCACAACAAATATCACAGTGAGGCCCTGGTGGTCGATGAAGAGAACAGTGCAGACCTTGATTCAATGTTCTGGGCCATGAAAAAAGAAAATATTCCTAAAGAAATGGAATGCCTCCAGGAACAACAAAAAAATATTCAAAGTGTTGGCAAGAATGGTCACAGGTGGCATCCTAAGAAATTTCCCTCTTCTCTTTACTTTTGATGCATCCTCAAAAGGGTGAGGAGTAATTTAAAGTTACATGGACTTAAGCCTCAAGTTATCAACACTCCAAAGGAAATAAGACAACCACAACAGTCCCTTGAAGCAGAAATCAAAACCAAAAAACAATAAAGAATACTGACTAACATCCAACCTATACCTTTTTTAACATATAAACTTGCTTCACACAAAAGCAACACCAAAAAATGAAAGATCATTATTAATGATATTAAGTAATATTATTCAATGTTTTTTCTTTTACTTGAAATTCTTTTTGGCTTGATTACAGGATTATCCGCTTGTATATAGATTTATACACTAAGAACCCA